CTTAACTGTTAAACTCAAAAACCATAAAAATCATAGAAGAAAACATAAGCAGTAAAATCTCAGACATTTCTCAAAGCAATATTTTTTCTGATTTATCTTCTCCGGCAAGGGAAGCAAAATAAATAATAAACAAATGGGACTACATCAAACTAAGAAAGTTTTACACAGCAAAGGAAAGTGTCAACAAAATGAAAAGGAACCCTACCGAATGGGAGAACATACCAATGATACATCTGGTAAGGGGTTAATATCCAAAATTTATGAAGAACTTAAAAAACTCAGCACAAAAAAAAAGAAAATTCAGTTAAAAAATGGGCATAGGACCTGACTAAACACTTCTCCAAAGAGGATATACAGATGGCCTAAAGGCATATGAAAAGATAATCAATGTCACTAATGGTCAGAGAAATGCAAATTAAAACCACAATGAGATACCACCTGACACCTGTCAGAATGGCCATCATTAATTAATCAACAAACAAGTGAGGATGTGGAGAAAAGGGAACCCTAGTGCACTGTTGGTGAGAATGCAGACCGGTGCAGCCACTATGGAAGGCAGTATGGTAGTTTCCTCAAAAACTGGAACTGCCTTGTGACTCAGCGATTCCACTCTGGGAATTTATCCGAAGAAACCCAAAACACTAATTTGAAACAATATGTGCACCCCTATGTTCATTGCAGCATTATTCACAATAGCCAAGATTTAGAAGCAGTACAGGTGTTCCATCAATAGATGAGTAGATAAAACAACTACGGTACACTAAAACAGTGGAATAGGACTGGACCGTAAAAAAGAAAAAAGAAAAAAAAAAGGAAATCTTACCCTTTGTGACAGCATGGATGGACCTGGAGAACATTAGGCTAAGTAAATATGCCAGTCAGAGAAAGACAAGTACCATATGCTTTCACTCATATATGAAATCTAATGAACAAAATGAGCTAACAAGCAAAATAGTGACAGACTCAGAGAGCAGGTTGACAGCTGGCGGTGGGGGTGGAGAGATTGAGCCAAAAAAAAAAAAAGAAAAGACACTCATGGACATGGGCAATGGTGTGTGATTGCTGGGCAGGGAGTATGTAAAAAAAGAAGAATTTGGTGGTCTAATGATATATAGAGAGAAAATTTTGAGATTTAATGCCAGCTACCCACAATGAGGTTGATGCCATCTTACCCTTCCATCAACAGGATTTGGCCATGCCTATTTCCCATACTGTATTCTGTGCTATGTATTATTAAACTTTAACCTTGAGCAATCTGACTGGTGAAAAGCAGCGCTTATTTTAGTTTAAATTTTTCAAATTATGAGTGAAGTTTAATATCTTATGTTTAAAAGCCATTTGTATAATATCTTTGTAATTTTTATAGGTTTTTTTTTTTAATTTGCCATAAAAAAGAATCAAAGGTCTAGTTTTGTTTACCAAGTAAGATGACTGGCCAGTTCTTGAAGTGTTTATTGGATAGTCCGTTTGATTTGAAATGCCATCGTCATACAGTAATTCTAGTCTATATTTGAATCTGTTTGTGGGACCAGTTCTCTTTCATTGATTTCTGCATTTATGAGTAGGAAAAAACCTTTTGTGATTTCTATGGATTTATCATGCATTTTAATATTTAATAGGGCTTGTTTTTTAGGTCCCTCGTTATACTTTGTCAGAATCTTTCTGGATTCTTTTTGTACGATCTTTAGAAGCAGATTATCTAACCCCTTCTTTACCCCAAATTTTGTTAGTGGCTTTAGTTGGCTCATATGAAATTTATTATTTAATTTAACCTTTCTGGAATTTTATTTTCAATTTTTCCCCTAGTCTTTCCTCATTTTCTGAATCTTTATGGGAGAACCGGAATTAGTTCAGTTTAACAGGGTTGTTATTTAACTTTATATTATATGCAGTCTTGTCACAGTCCTAAGAGTAAATATACAGAATGAGGGAACCCTGTATTATGAGCATATATTTATAGCTCACTGCACTGAAAGAAACCCTAGCACCTTGTTTTTGGCAATACTTCAGACCACCTTAGTAAGGAATAAGAGTAAATAAACTGAAATGGGAGGAGGAGATAGGTCACTCAACGTAAACTGGGTGGAATGTCACACTCTACGATTTTTTAAAAATATACATATATGGCCCTGAGTGGTGTAGCTCAGTGAGTTGGGTGGCCACCTGCAAACTGGAAGGTCGCAAGTTCGATTCCTAGTCAGGACATATGCCTGGGTTGCAGGCCAGGTTCCTGGTTGGGGGGTGTTTGGGAGGCCTACAAGAGGCAATCAGTCTATGTTTATCTTGTACATACATGTTTCTTTCCTTCTCTTTCTCCCTTCCTTCCCCTCTCCCTACAAATAAAAAAAATCTTTTAAAAAAACAAAATATACATATATGAACTATTATTCATATCTATTAGGTAAGCAAAATATGGTGGAAGGACTAGAGTACACATAATGACTTTTTAAAAAATAGTCTTTGTCAACATCGTATTGGAAGTCCTAGCCACAGCGGTCAGACAAGAGAAAGAGATAAAAGGCATCCAAATAGGAAAGGAGGAAGTAAAGCTATCATTGTTTGCAGATGACATGATAGTGTACATAGAGAACCCTGTAGACTCTACCAAAAAACTCCTCAACCTTATAAATTAATTTGGCAAAACAGCAGGATACAAAGTCAACATTCAGAAATCAAAGGCATTTTTGTATACCAGCAATGCAATAGAAGAAGAAGGAATCAGAGAAAAAATACCATTCGATATAGCAAGAAGAAAAATAAAGTACCTAGGCATAAATTTAACCAAAGACATAAAAGACCTGTATGCAGAAAACTATACAACATTGAAGAAAGAAATTAAGGAAGACAGAAATAAATGGAAGCATATACCGTGCTCATGATTGGAAGAATTAATATCATCAAAACGTCCGTACTACCTAAAGCAATTTATAGATTCAACGCAATCCCTATTAAGATACCAATGACGTATTTCACAGAAATAGAACAGACATTTCAAAAATTTATATGGAACCATAAACGACCCCGAATAGCCGCAGCAATTTTGAGAAAGAAACACAAAGTAGGAGGGATCACAATACCGGACATCAAACTCTACTACAAAGCCACTATACTCAAAACAATCTGGTACTGGCACAAGAACAGACCCATAGACCAGTGGAACAGAATAGAAAGCCCAGAAATAAGCCCAGGTCTCTATGGGCATCTAATATTTGACAAAGGGGGCAGAAGCATAAAATGGAGCAATAACAGCCTCTTCAACAAATGGTGTTGGGAGAGCTGGACGGCTACATGCAAAAAATTGAAATTGGATCATCAGCTGACACCATACACAAAAATAAACTCCAGATGGATAAAAGACTTAAATATAAGTCGCAACACCATAAAAGTCCTAGAGGAGAACATTGGCAGGAAACTCTCAGATATCCCACGCAGCAATTTTTTCACTGATATGTCTCCTAAAGCAAGAGACATAAAGGAAAGAATAAACAAGTGGGACCTCATCAAAATAAGAAGCTTCTGCACGGCAAAAGAAAACATCAGCAAAATGAAAAGGGAGCCAACCCTATGGGAAAATATATTCGCTAATGATACATCAGATAGAGGTTTGATCTCCAAGATATATAAAGAACTCACTCGACTCCACTCCAAGAAGACAAACGATCCAATCAAAAAATGGACAAAGGACCTGGGCAGATGCTTTTCCAAGGAGGAGATACAGAGGGCCCAGAGGCATTTGAAAGGATGCTCAGCATCACTAGCCATCAGAGAAATGCAGATCAAAACCACCATGAGGTACCACCTCACACCAGTCAGAATGGCCATCATAAACAGATCAATAAACAACAGGTGCTGGCAAGGCTGTGGAGAAAAGGAAACCCTAGTACACTGTTGGTCGGAATGCAGACTGGTGCAGCCACTGTGGAAGGCGGTGTGGAGTTTCCTCAAAAAGCTGAAAATGGAACTGCCTTTTGATCCAGTGATTCCCCTGCTGGAACTATACCCTAAGAACACCAAAACGCCAATACAAAAGAACCTATGCACCCCAATGTTCATAGCAGCACAATTTACAATAGCCAGGTGTTGGAAGCAGCCTAAGTGTCCATCAGTAGATGATTGGATCAAAAAATGATGGTACATATACACAATGGAATACTACGCAGCAGAAAGGAAAAAAGAACTACTAAACTTCGCGACAGCATGGATGGAACTAGAGAGCATTATGCTAAGCGAAATAAGCCAGGGGGAGAAAGACAAATACCATATGATCTCACCTATAAGCGGAACTTAACCAACAATACAAAGATGCAAGGAAAATATGACCAGCAACACTGAAAGGGAAAGAAATCAACAGAGACAAGAGGGAAGGAGGGAGAGGGGGTGCAGGGAAAGGGAAGGGAAAGAGAAAGTCAAGGAACATATAGCAGGGACTCATGGACAAAACCAAAGGGGAAGAGCTGAGGAAGGGAAGGAGGGAGGGGGCAAGGGAAAGTGGTGGGGGGGGAGGCAGAGACAAATGTATTTAAAAAGAAAAAAGAAAAAAGGAAGGAAGGAAGGAAAAAGAAAGAAAGAAAGAAAAAGAAAGAGGAAGAAAGAAAGAAAGAAAGTCTTTTTTTTTTTAGAACAGGGGCAGATTTACAGAAAAATGGATAGTACAGAGGACATGCTATTCCCAGTTCCTCCTGTTACTGATAGTTTACATTAATGTGGTACATTCATTGCAATTGACCGATATTGATACATTATTATTATTCACCAAGGTTCATACTTTGTTCAGATTTCTTCAGTTTTTACCTAATGTTCTTTTTCTGTTACATGATCCCATCTAGGATAATGCATTGTATTTAGCTAACATGGTGGTGGCAGTTTGACCTAAGTTTTTTATCATGGAAAAAAGACATTAATACATGTATTTTTTAAAAGCTAGAAAATGTAAAACGAGTAGAAACTTTTAAAGTATACTGATGCTTTAAGTTTTACGTCCCTTTTCTTCTGCATTTCAGGCACTCTGTGAATGTGCCCTCCAGACTCCTTACGACAGCCTAAAACTGGGAATGTTGTCTGTCCTCTCCGCACTCTCTGGGACCATTGCTGTTAAACATTATTTCAGCATAGCTACAGGTAAGGAGGAGAAAGGAGAGGATGTACGGGTGATGTGCTAATCCCTTAACTTATGTTGATGCTTCAGGTTGTTCCCTCTCTAAAGCTTTAGAACCTGGAAAGGTTTCAGCCTCCTACTCTGTTATATGCTAGTGATTTTTTGAAAATTATTTCTTAACTAATGCCCATGGTAATGAAATCTTGCATCCTTGATCTTAAAGATATTGTTCTTCTGTATTTGTTCTTTTTCTAATTATATGTGGGTGCCACGATATTTTTGAGGATGCTTCAAATAGCTGGTTTGCTTTTATATGTCTATGACTTAGAGTGCCCTTTGAATTTAAGTACATTTCAAAGGCCAAGTAATGGTGAATTTTAAAAGCAAATGTCATGCTACCTTTTAGATGGTTGCCTAATTCAAGATGAATTAACTCCACCGTGCCTGTTAATGCCCAGTGAAGAGCTTACTTACGTAACAGACTTCAGGCTAAAAGTTTTTTGTTTTGTTTTAATGCAAGTTTTGTAGAATCTTTATTGCTTCCTTTTGTAGTCAGTTAATTTGAATTGGATTAATTAAAGAACTATAATGTGCATTAGTCCTTTTTATGGTTTCACAGTTTATGAACTTACTGGGTAAAGTGAATTGCCTGACCTGTAAGGTCTGATAAGAGGCTGAAAGGACCTGATACTCTGTTGCCAAGCCTCCCTGGGTATTCTGTTGCCAAGCCACCTAGGGTGCACTCCATGCGGCCGGAACTTACCTAATCATTTCCATACCACAGACTGAATTGAAAGGGGTGACGTGGGAGACTCCCTTTTCTGGTGATAAACAATGACCACAGCAACATCCAGTTTCCAGGAACACTGTAGCAGTGGTTGTTGGCTAGGTCTTGTCCCTTTGGCATCAGTGTAAACTGTGACATCAGGATGTCAGTGACAATGGCATTAATGTCTTCACTGGACTAATTCCACGCATGGTTTGGGCTGTGATCCTGGTTGGTCTCCAGCCTTGCCGTTTTTCCAAGCTTAGTTTTCCAGCCTTTTCAGTAATTCTGTGAGATACTCTGTATCAGTTATCTATTGCTACACAGCAAATCACCTCAAAACATAGTGGCTTAAGACCATGACCATTTTATTTGCTCTGATTCTGCACATCAGTAATTTTCACTGGCCTTAGCTGGGCAGTTCTGCTGGTTTTGCTTTGGCTCACTCACAAGACCGCAGTCATCTGGAGCCTTGATCAGACGGGTTGGGCTACGATGGCCTCATTCACCAGCTGGGAGTTGAACAGCTTTCAGCTGAGGCACCTTGGTTCTCCTCCAGGTGACTCTGAGCGAGCTAGCTGGGGCTTGTTTATATCAGGTTCTCAGAGTTCTAGCAGCAGCGAAAAGAAGGCACACCATGAGCACACACACAAGCCTTTTGCTTGCATATGTTTTTTAATGTCTCATTGGGCAAGGCAAGTCACATGACCAGGCCCAGCTAGGTGGGGAAATAAACACCTCTTAATGTGAGGAATTAGAAAATGACATTGCAATGGGGCATGCCTACGAGGGATGGGAGAGATTATTGCAGTTTCCCAACAATCTACCACAAACTCAATGTGCTTTCAATAAGTTCTTTTTCTGCACAAATCAGCCAGTCTGTTTCTTAGCTTGCAGTTAATAGTCTTAACTGACAACACACTTTGTAAAAGCTACAGACAGAGTATTAATTATATCTTATAATTTTTAGGAGCCTTTTCATACAGAATCTCATTGCTTTTTTACAAGTAGCAGGTGAGGCACATGCAAGGGAGTTTGTAAGTATTGAAACCAAGGCTCAAAGTTTTGATATGTCCAAACTTGCAAATTTATGCCTAAGCTTAGGTCTGAGCCTAAGGGTTCTGACTTACGTTATTTTTAATAGTAAACTACCTAATTAATGCAAGATGACTTTCTCTTTCTTTATTTTTTAATTTCAAAGACATTTGTAAACATTGTCAGGTTATATAATATTCAGGTACTTTTCACACTAGATATTTTGTCTTTTTGTTGAATTTTGTTAAATTGTAAGTTATATATGGAATTACACAAAAGGCTTGAATAACCAGACTAGGCAATGTTCACATGAAATGAAAGTAAAGGATTTTTCCCAGGTTAGATTATTTCCATAGATAACAGTAAATATTTATTTTCATTGATTAGTTTTCTTTTCACTGTAGTCAGGATAGTTTATAAAAGAAACTTAAATTTAGTGTCTAAATTATCACTAACAAATGGCTTTTAAGCATGTAAGGTGTTCAGTATCACAGATATCTAAGAAAAATGCAAATCAAAACAACACGGAAATACTTTACCAGTTGTTGAGATTGGCACAGTCAGAAGTTTGATAGCCTGCTGCGTTGACAAGGATATGGGTAAACAGCTACTCTCATTCATTGCTAGAGGGAATGTAAATTATTAAACCTCTGCATAGGCAATTTGGAAATACTCATCAAAATTATACATATATACCCAAAAGTTTCACTTTTAGGAATTTACCCTACTAATATATTCACACATTTAATAAATGACATGTACAGGGTTATTCATAACATCATTGTATGAAATAGCAAAACAAGTAGGGGATGTAATAGCATAAAAGGGCCTGTCAATAGGAAGCTCATTAAAGAAATTATGATATATAACCGCAGTAAAAATCAGTGCAATTTATTTAAGAGCATATGGCGTGGAATAATCTCCTATAATATAATGTTTAAAGGAAATAAAACAAGACGCAAAACAGTATATAAAAGTAAAAAGAAAGTATGTATGTTTGAAAATCTATAGACTCTCTTTGGAATGATACACAAGAAACTAGTAACAGTAGGTGGATGAGGGAAACTTTTCACTCACTAACTTTTTACCTTCTATTTGTTGAATCTTTTGAACCATGTGAATTTATCATAGAAAGTCATTTCTAAATAGATAAAAATAATTTTATCCCTAAAATAGTTAACATAAAAAAAGGATAAAAAATAAATAGTTTAAAGACAGAATGTTGGCCAGTATCCTGATTATGTATGAAGTTTTAAATAGTATTGGCTTTCATATGGGAAAATTGAAAAGAAATACTCCAGAAAGTTAACAATAAGGTCATGCTGGTTTGTGGGATTTGGGATGATTTTTGGTTTTTTCTTTGAATTTTTCTTGTTTTTTTCCAAGTTTTGTCTCATGAGTGTTGATAGGAAAGGGTCGGAGGAGTTGCAAAACATGGTTGTAGATTTATAAATGCGTCTGCATTTTCCATGTCACATGGGCAAGAAAAAAGAATGGAGGAAGTGTCCATGTTTTCTTTTAAAATGAACTCATAGTTTCATATTTCTAATATTTTGCTTATTTTTAAAACACTGAGGCTTTACCTGAACTAGCACTTTTAAGAAGTCAGTAAAGTTACCACGTGTCCCACACTGCCTGAGAAAGTCTTGGTCATAGCCTGTGGTGATTAGTGATATGTGTCCCCCTCAAGCTCAAAAAAATATGGTCACCCTTGGTATGAGAAACAAGTATGAGGTTGATAGGGTAGAAAAATAAGCAGGGGAAAAGAAGACAGTAATGAGACGCTCTGCTAAGAAGTTAAATATGCTTTAATCTCTTAATTCTTCTTGAAGCTCGCTTTATAACTAAGAGCTTCTCTACTAGAAATAAGAACACTTGCAACATAAACCTTAAGTTACAGAATTTCAGTTGTGAATTTAAAAAAAGTGCTGCCATTTATAGCGTATAACTTTAGGCGTGAAGCACAGGGGTAGTTATTTTATGACCTTGGTGGCCAGATAGTTAAAATCTTGGGGCTTCAATTTCTTCTGTAAAAGTGGGGTGTTGAATCACATGATCCCCAAATCCTCTCCATCTCTAAAATCATGAATGTTTATAAACCTTTTGAGGGATAACTAAATGCAGCCATTGAGATGGGAAAAGCAAACCTAATTTTTTTGTTTCTCCTTTTATTCCTTTCTTGAAGGTAAGGTGTTATCTGACAAGAAGCCTGTAATAACATCCCATTAGAACTCCCAGAATACAATCTGTAGTTTTTTGGGCGTTTGCCCTGTTCCTTAGTGAGTTTTCTAAATATTTATATGAATAATGTGTTACATTGATTTTAGATTCTAATCGTTACACAGTTATTGGCACATACCTATTCCAAGTACCTTGACAGGAGAAAGAGAAATCGTGATATTATATTGATGAGGAACCATGTAGAGGTAGAAAATTTTGTTAGTTTGTTATTGGAGGTTTTCTCTTGAAAGTGAGAAAAATGAACTGGTAAGCTGAAAAGCTTTTGAGCTATATAAATGAATTATAATCTGCATGACTTTTCTCTGCTTGTTTAGGAAATGTGGGTTCTTCCCCCAGATCCTCTGATTTAGTCAAATTAGCCCAAGAATGCTGTTACCATAACAACAGGGGCATTGCAGCTCATGGAGTCAGAGTCCTCACTAATATAACTGTCTCTTGTCAAGAAAAAGGTAAGTTTGATCAGGACTGATGTTATGTATAAGCTTTTGGATTGGAGCTTGGGCAGATTTCTGTGTGTTTGATTTTTTTAATCCCTTATTATTTTTAGCCAGTGTGCTTTGATCTACTAGTTGCCTCCTTTGGAAGTGTTCTTAAAGCAGGGTTTCTCAAGACTACTTAATCCTTTGAAAAGTTTTTTAAAATACAAGGACTTTGGGATTGGCACTGTGGAATTGAAAACTATTGCGGAACATTTCTCATTTCCTCTCACTATTTACCCTTGCATATATGGAGCAGTGGACAGGAACTGCTTATGATTACCCTTGGTGTGAGGCAATTTGTTTGCTTGTACAAAACCCCAAAAAATTTAGAGAAAAAAAAAATCTTCAGTTACCAGGGGGCTTAACTAACAAATAGATCATCTAGGGGCAAGTGAATTAATAGAACAATGTGAATTAAATTTCGATAGAATGTATCTCTAGGTATCTAGGCCATTACACTGATGTGTGTAACTAAGAAAGGTGTACATAGAAATAATACATATATTTTATTGAATTCCTGACACCTTTTGTCCAAAAGGCTTGGAGAAGTCCAGGCTGGTGTTCAAAAACAGGAAATGCATTTTAGATGTTCCATCTGTTTCACTGCTTATTTTGATCTTTATTAAAGATCATAAGCTTAGTGGTCCCTCCTATCCCTCCTAGCCTTCAGCACTGCTTGTTCCTGGTACTTATTGTGTTATTAACACCCTGACCTTCACTAGCTTTTACACTGTTTTCCAAGCCCCTACACTAACTCAGGAGACATTTCTCTAAGTTGTGTATTGATTCTGATTTGAATAATTAAACCTGTTTTATTTTTGGCATGGTAATGAGTGTTTTCTATTACATAACATAGAAAACTGTTATATGTTCTCAAAGCTGACATATATTACCCTAAATACAGTTAGCTAATATATGCAAGACTTTCTAGAACCTGTAGAGAAATTTTAGCCCTAAGGTAGTGAAAATTGCTAAAAAAAACTGCTATTGCATGAGACATCTAAGGGATTTGTTCTTTATGGTTCGACTTAACAACATTAATATGGTATGTGGGGTCCTCATTACATCTTAAAAGTGGTTCAGCTTTCATTAGAAGCTGAAAATTGTAACATTCTAGGTGAAAACGTGCCTTCATAATTTACATCTGATTAGAAAGATTAACACAGGTCTGGTTGGTGTGGCTCAGTGGATTGAGCACCAGCCTGCAAACCCAAGGGTCACTGGTTCGATTCCCAGTCAGGGCACATGCCTGGGTTGCGAGCCAGGTCCCCAGTTGTGAGTATGCAAAAGGCAACCACACATTGACGTTCCCCTCTCTCTAAAAATAAATAAATAAAATAAAAGGAAAGATAAACAATAATTCATGGTTTGCTGTTCCTAGTATTTTCCTCAGCTAATCTGGTAACAGTATTTCAGTTATGCTTTATTTAAATCTTTGTGGCTTTAGCTCTTAATTTAATGTGTATATTTTTATAATCTTTAGTCAGAGGTAGATATAAGTCTGAAGATAGCCTTTGCATTTAAGAAATAAGGCCAGATGTACATTTTCAGGAAGGTTAGCTTTACTCATTGAGGTATTTCCTGTATCTTAAACTCCATGATGTTTTTTCTTGTGTGTGTATTTAATCTTTTCTGCTTCATAAAACTTCGTGTTTTTCCTCTAGACCTTTTGGCGCTGGAACAAGACGCAGTTTTTGGCCTGGAATCCCTTCTGGTACTTTGTAGTCAAGATGATAGTCCCGGTGCTCAAGCCACATTAAAGGTGAAAACATCCCTTATTTTAATATAATGCCTATTTTCATTGCCTAAGTCAGGAATCAAGGAATTATTGCCTAAGTCAAGAACAGTTTCCCTAAAAAAGGGTCAGATAGTAAATATTTTACATCTTGCAGGTTATATACTCTCAGTTCTACCTTTGTAGGACAAACCCTTGACCATGATGTAAAAAAGGGTGTGGGTGTACGTGTTCTTTATTTACAAAAAACAGACCAGGATTTGGCCCAAGGGCCATAGTTTATTAACTCTTGGTTTAAAGGAGCACTTCGCATGGTCTTCACTTTCAAAACTGGCATTTTGACCATTGGAGCTCCAAAAGATAGACAAAATAAAACTCTAAGCTTTGTCCTTTTTTGCCATCAGTTGGCAGTATTTATTAAATTGTAGTAGATACATATAATGGTCCTATTCAGTATAAAGCAAAATTAAGTAGGCAGAGGTCCTGCACTCTTCAAAGTTTATAATCTGAAGTAACACTGGTAAGATCACAAAAATACTGATAAAATAAATGGAGCCAAACTCTGTATATATAGGTTTGTATTAATTTCAAGAGTATAGAATCTCTAGTTGTTAGGCAAAATGAAGAACTATAAAAATTTCACTTAATTATAGAAATTATCTTAGAGGTATTTAAGGTTTTTTAAATGCGAAACGGGACTACTCTTTTTGGAGTAAAACATGAAATATAATTTGATAGTACAAAATTAATAATTAAGAAAAGCAGGGTTAATAGAAGTAAAAGATTGTTAGGTAGACAGTGGAGTATGGTTTGAGGGAATATAACACATTCAGTGATGGTATGATGTGGTCATAGTGATGAACAATAGACGTATTAGTACCATTAAATAAAAGCTGATAATCAAGAGGTAGTAAAGGAAGTAGGCAACCTGTATTTGGAAGGATTCATCCCAAGTCGCTTTAGAAACACAATATGTAAACTTTTTTTGTTTTTGTTTTTTTAAAGAAAGAAAACCAAATTATTTTTCCTCCAATTGTGGATGTAAGTAAAACACTAGCCTTGCCACAGTGGGATATACATAGATGCTCAAGAAAGGTTCCCAAATTGAAGGAGCTCCCCATCTAGACAATACTGACATTTATGTAAGGGAATATGAAACTAGGTAAAATTCAGTAAGTTTCTAAAGTACAAACAAAAGTGCACTTCTACAAAAGTGCACTTCTAATGAGAGGACAGAGTTGAAAGTGATTAATTCCAACTGATGGTGTTAGGTAAGACTTGAACAAGTAGGAATCACTTGAGCATTGAAAGATGGGGTGGAATTTCAGTGTTTGAAGAAAGATCATTTGAACCAGAGGGACCATTGTTACAAAAAGCTTGAAAGCAAAAATGTACCTGTTCTGTTGGGCAGAATGGTGAGTAGCCCATGTGGTTAGATGATAAACAGGAGATTGGAAAAGTAGTTTGCAGCTCAATCATGAAAGATAGCAAATATAATGCTAAGAAACATTAAAATGATTCTATAAATAGTGAGGAGATACTAAAATTTTAAAATAATGGACATGTTCTAGCTTTTGTTGTCATTTTATTGTTGTTTAAATGTGTCTGTTATATGCCACACTTTGTTAAAGGCTTGTATAAGTTTTTTTTAATTTTTACCCTAAGATTACTTCATCTTAGTGAAATGTGTCCTGCTCTTACATTTATGGGAAATTAAGACTCAGAGATAAAATCACTTGTTCAAAGACACCTAGCTAATAGAGAGCAAGCTGACCTTCATCTCTGGGTTTTTCAGACTTTAGAGCTTACTTTTCTTCCTAACAGCACACTGAGAGCTACATGGTTTTAGTGTAAAGGATGGATTAATGAGCTCATCTTTTCAGAAGATTAGAATTAAAGAGAAATTTATGTTGTAATATAAAGAATGGAAAGGAGCTAAAGAGGTCAGTATTAGAGACTTGACAAAAGTGGAAATTACAAGATTTAGTGATCACTTGGCTATAAAACAGTGAGAGGACTCTGGATTTCTAGTTTTGATGACTGGGCTATTAGTGATGCCATTAACTGGCCCAAAGAGAAGCTCTAAAGCCAACTGGTTTTCGGTTTTGCTGGAGAAATAAGAGAAAATTAGAAGCCTTTCCCCACTTCAGCATTCTTAAGAGTCACTTAGGGTGCCTTTCTTACACTGAAAACTCTCAGTGACACACACCAAGTTAATGCATTAAGTTCAGGATGGTGGGATCCAGGAGTCTCTGTTGTAATTAGCATAGGGAGATGATGGCATAGGTGTTTACAAACCACATTTTAGAAGCAGTTCTTGGAAGCAGTGAAAGTAATGGTGACATTCAGTTGGGCATATATTTTGCCTCTTCAGCATTATTCCCTATGATTTTCATCTCATCTTTTTACTTTTTAACAGTACTAGATTGCAGTGTGTGGTTAATGTGCAGTCCTGACTTGTTATTTGGTTTTAAACGTGGCACACTTTGTATATTCTAATATGAGATCCATTACGTCATGTGTTTCTTAGGCAGAAAAATGTTATGCCTACAAAGAAGACTTTTCCTCAGTTTTTTCCAATAACTTATACTAAGTGCTTCTCTTTAAAGCTTTACTTAAATACCCTAAAAGTCTAACTGGTCTTACTTTCTTTTCAATGTGCAGATTGCTCTGAATTGTATGGTAAAGTTGGCCAAGGGTAGACCCCATCTCAGCCAGTCTGTGGTTGAGACCCTATTGACTCAGTTGCACAGTGCTCAGGATGCCGCCCGGATCCTGATGTGCCACTGCCTGGCCGCCATTGCCATGCAGCTGCCAGTGCTGGGCGACGGAATGCTGGGCGACCTCGTGGAGCTCTACAAGGTCATTGGCCGATCATCCACAGACAAGCAACAGGAACTTCTGGTAAACCTGCTATGGATGAATAGGATCTGGTCTAGTGAGAATTATTTTAAGAAGTTAACATTACTATTTGGCTTTACTTAGAAAGCAAAACAAACAACAGGTTAAAGCAATTATCTAAGACCAAGGGAATGCTGAAGTCAAAATAGAATTGGAACCATGAGCTTTTTACTATTTCCACTTTGATTGAGTAAGCCCTATTGAGTTCAGATCTAGAACTTCTTTTTTCATAACTGTTATCAAGTCATCTTGGTATAGCCAAAACCTTCAATCTGTTATTATTCTATTACAAAGAACAAAATGATAATGGATTTTTTCTTTTTTTATACAAAGCAAGTAAATAATGAATTAGACTCTATTTTGGGCTTCTAAAGATGTAAGTTAAAGACCTAATAATAACAGCAACCATAAATTAGCACAGATTACTCTTTTGCAATCCAGGACCTCTTTAGCTGTTTAGGATCCAGTTTAGGTTTCAGTATAGTCCTGAGATTGGGAAAGATGCATGCTTATAAAGAAACAGAAGCCACAGAAGTGATAGAGTGTTGTTTAATTGAAATGCTACCAGGCTGAGAGTAGCTACCTTCTAAATAGGCATCAATTAGATGTAAGCCTTAAGCTGTCCACTCCATATTGTTTCTGCTCATCGTAATTTAGGGATTGGGTAAAGCTTAATGAAATTAGTCAAGCCTATTTTATATTTAATTCTCCAGGGTGTATTTTGTAAAAGATTAAAACTTAATTCATCACTTGCTATCAGGAGAGGGGGTACCCTGAGGACCAAGCGGCAGTGGTGGCCATGGGAGTGACACCACCCAGTTACCACAATATGGATGGACCTTTGTATATATCACCTTCGGGATACTATGAAGTCGTTAGCCAAGTTGTTTTGTTTTGTTTTGTTTTGTTTTGTTTTGTTTTTATTAGAGCAGCATTTTCAACTAATATTCTTTATCCCTTTTTTTGTTAGTACTACATTAAGGCAATTTTAAATTATGAAACATAATTTTTTTTAAAATGTAAAGAGTAATACGATGAAAACCTGTGCATCTGTTACCTAGCTTAAGAAAATAATACTACCAACACAGTTGAACTGTACCTACCTGTACCCCTCCCTTCTCCTAGAGATAATCACTCTCCTGAACTTGGTGTTTATCGTTCCCATGCATATCATTATATATTTACTACCTTAGTGTATATATGAAGAAATATGTACCTCATATTATTTTGCATATTTTAACTTTATATAAATGCTATCATACTGCATGTAATCTTTTGCATTTTGCCTATTCCTGTTTTGTTTAAATCATCTATGTTGAAAAGTGTATCTCTAGCTTACTCATTTCATTGCCGTATAGTATTTCCTTGTGCAATTTTATAATTTATCCATATTTATCAGAATTACTTGCTATTATAAACAGTTGTCTGAAAAATGGAATAAATTGCTCAATAACATCAAAGTGAAAAACTAATAAATGTCAAGGGGGAACAAATTTTCATTTTTGGTGGGCCCTCATTAGTTTTTATCCCTTTGGAGTAAAGTTATCTGTGCTATTGATAGAATTACGGGATTTTTTTAAATTGTCTTACTTCTTGCTCAATGTTAGGTGAGTTTGGCCACTGTGATTTTTGTCGCCAGTCAGAAAGCACTATCTGCTGAAGTAAAGGCAGTCATTAAGCAGCAGCTCGAAAGTGTCTCCAATGGATGGACTGTGTACCGAATTGCCAGACAGGCATCCAGAATGGTAGGTGGGGTCCTTCTGAGTGAATTGTGTCAGTGAAGATGGCAGATTACATACCTTAGACTGTGGGATTGTTACTCCTGGTCAAAACTGAAAAATGAAGATAGAAGTATGTCTTAGTCATGGGATTGAAAGATCATGAACAGAAAGTCCTCATTTTTAGTGTTTTTCATGTGAGAATGGCATGTATGTTGTTATGGGGAAGTTCCCAGGAATTACAAAAATCTGAGCTCTTTCTGGCTGTAGGTTGCTAGCACCACTTTTATTTCGCCCCATATTTTCATAACCACAGCTGTCTCCCTGTTTCTGTCCTCTTTTATCAATATGCCAATTCTTTAATCCCTTTCTCTCCTTAACCTTACCGTTCATATGTAGAAGCGGGAAGTCTTCCTCATACAAATGAAAGTGTGCTGTTCTCTTCTCAGCCATATGGAAAGCCTAACAATTTTCATTAATTTTGTTTGAGAAGAAGGAGACACAGAGCTTTGGGTAGTATAGAAGTCCTTTGGGCTAAGTCTGAAGAGTAGAGTTGGAGAAGCATTATTGTAGGACAGTGGTCCCCAACCTTCTTGGCACCAGGGACCGGTTTTGTGGAAGACAATTTTCCCACGGACCATGGAGTGTGGGGATGGTTTCAGGATGATTCAGCCATATTACATGCAAGCTCACCTCCTTCTGTGCGGCCCGGGTTCCTAACAGGCCCAGACTGGTAGCAGTCCTTGCCTGGAGGGAGGCTGGTGGTCTCTGCTGGCGGGGATTGAAGCACACGTTTTCATTGTTTCTCAGACAAGAGGAGGACCACTGCTGACAAGCCAGTTCTGTATTTCACCCTGTCCCAAGCAGCCAAGCACTGCAGGGCCCTGAGCATTAAATGGCCCACGTTCCCCCCAGTGACTACCCTGTCCCCCAGTCACTTCCAGCGGCAGGCACTGTACTCTTCCTGATAGTCACCTAATGGAACTTACTGGAATTTCCCCCTACCCCACTCAGTAGCTCATACCAAATAACATACAGTAAGTATTTATACTTTCTATATTTTGAACTAAAATTGTAGACGCAGGTTGTAGATAATTCCATTTATTTTCTCTTTGGAACTGTTTTAGTGAAGAACTGCAGGCATTAAGTTATATATCAGCACATGTTCTTTGAGAAAATACTTAGACTGAATCTCAGATAATTACATAATGTGAGGAATGATAGTCAAAGCTTATCCAAGATTTAGGTTTGTCCTTTAGTTGCTAATTCAAGAGTCAGAATTCATTATGTGCCATGATTTTTTTTTTAGGGTAACCATGACATGGCCAGAGAGCTCTATCAGAGTTTGCTGACTCAGGTTGCCTCAGAACATTTCTACTTCTGGCTGAATAGTTTGAAGGAGTTCTCACATGCAGAACAGTGTTTCACTGGGTTGCAAGAAGAGAATTATAGTTCAGCACTTTCTTGCATTGCTGAGTCTTTAAAATTCTACCACAAAGGGATTGCATCCTTAACAGTAAGTCCTCTTTATTCTTCTTTGGTGATGATGACTTGTATGAGAATGATCTCCTGTCTCTTTTTATTATCCCATTTTAACCACCTTGAAACATCTACTGATATACATATATATGGCAATATTAAAATAATAAGTAGGACATGGAAGTAGATTCTTAACCCCTCCCCTACCTCTTAATATTCGTAGATTGTTGAGAGTTTATCACTTTGTTTTTATCAAATATCAGGAACCACAAATGAAGAAGATTGCTGAATCTATGCAGAAGGGATAAATGGAAATAGGATCCTCCCTTTCCAAAATCCTGTTAGTAATGCAGTTCTTAGTAAGACCCCAGCCTGGGTCACTACCACCATCAGCGTAAATCCCCACCCATCTCATACCTTGCAGCTACACATTAAGAAACTATAGTTGCTGGCTTTGTGGGTTAAGAAGAAATTATCAAGGATATTAGTGCCCCCGACCCCATGTCCCCCCTGTGCCAAATTAATAGTTAGCCAGCTAAATTTTTCATTTTCTCTGCCAAGAAAGTGAAGGGGTTGCAGAGAAGGCAGACACTTAACATTTCTTGTTTTCTTGAAATCAGTTATAGTCCCAAAAAAGAACCTGTTCCCTAAAACGAGGAAAAAGTTTATATAATCAACATTAAACACTTTTAAAATATTCTCATACAGCTTTTAAAGTTGTATATATATAGATGGGGCATAAAACTTTTGGTAACTGTTTATATACATTTATCACATAATCAAAAATATTTTTAATGGTAGCACATCCTAAAAGAAATACTTCAAAGTAGAACAAAGAATAAACTGATGTCACAAAAGAAACAGAATATTTAGAGTACTGTGGGTACATATCGTTTGAAGTATGATTTTTTTGGTTAGGATCAATGGCTATTTTAAAACAGAAACTCCTCTCCATTTTAAAAAGTGCCATTGACTACTATGATTTTTTCCTCTTGATTATTCTAGGAAAAGATTGTTGTTGCCTATATCAGGCTAATAAATGCCTCAGAAAATTAAAAGCTACAATTATTGGTTCTAATCAGTAGAATTACATAATATTCTAGCTTATGTGGAGCAGAAAATTATTACTCATTCAGTACAGTAAGTGCTAAAAACTGAAACAAGCCCACGAAACTCTGAGGCAGATAGAACTAATATTATGAAAAACCCTGTTGAATGTTTAATAGTCTTGTAATGATTTGTGTGGAATGTGTATTTAATGAGGCTTTGGTAGTAATTAAGGACTGAATTCTGACACAGGAAACAGAAGACCTCTTGTCTTAGTCTCCACTTTGCCATTAACACATTGTGACCTACGACAGGTTTTTGGACCTCAAATCATCTCCTTTTGTAATGTTGTTCTTTTATTCAACAGACTGTAAGCACTCGCTGCTGTGAATTTAAAAAATAATAAATCAGGAAAAGATTCTCCATTTGCAAATAGTTCTAGAGGGGAAGGCAGTGTGGTCCTTTGAGCCATTTGGCACTTCCCACATTTCTTACTGTACTATACCATCAGGGGGTTTTAAAGATTTTATTTTTAATCTGTTCACTTGGCAAGTATGGATATGACATTACCCTTCTATCTTTTTAACTAAGAGGGTATGAGCATGAGCTGCCCTTTGTGCTCCCTGACACATGAATGGTCTAACCTGAGATTGTACATCGATGAGAATTATTATGCTTCTTACCTGTTTCAGCCAAACTAAACATGAGAAGTTCAAAATTCTGTGCTTATGCGGACCCTGTAGCAGTGTTGGGTGTCTAATTTCCCAACACAGTGATGATAGAATTTTCTTACTTCCTAGGAATAAAACTTGTAAAAAATGTTTGTGTTCATTTTCTGTGCTGTATAACAAATTACCACAAATTTAGTAGCTTAAAGAAGCACCTGTTTAGTATTTCCGTTGCCATGAGTCAGAAGTCCGGGTATGGCTTAGCTAGGTCCTCTGTTCATGTTGTGAAAAAGTTGCCATGAAGACGTTAGCCAGGGCCAATCTTAATGAGACTCAAGGAGGCTTAGGGTCCTTAAATTTATGTAGTTATTGGTAGACTTTATTTCCTCACAGCTGTAGAACTTGGGGAAGCTTTCAGGGCTGGCAAGAGAATTGCTCACCTTCAAGACCCTCTTTTAATGGACTCACCAGATTATGAGAAATCCACGCAGAATAATCTCCCTCTTGATTAATATAAATTTAACTCATTAGGGACCTAAATTACATTCTCAAAATTCATTACCTTTGCCATATTTCATAGTTAGAAGCAAGTTACAGGTTCTGTCCACCCTCAAAGCAGGGAGATTACACAAGGTGTGGATACCAGAGAGGTATGAATCAGAGGAACCATTTTAGCATTCTGCCTACAGTGGCAGATGTTTCATTTGTTTTTTTCTCTTTACTAAGTATTGAATAGATAAAATATTTACATATTTTTATGTAGGGTATATAAATAATAAAACATATCTCAGTTTAGCACATGAGACATTATCATTGCCTTTAAAACTTGTTTTTGTACTGCACCATCTTGCTTGTATGTTTATTTTATCTTAAATATATCTTTTATTTTTTCCAGGCTGCCAGTACACCGCTGAATCCTTTAAGTTTTCAGTGTGAATTTGTAAAACTCAGGATTGACCTTCTACAAGCCTTCTCTCAACTCATCTGTACTTGTAACAGCCTCAAGACAAGCCCCCCACCTGCAATCGCCACAACAATTGCCATGACCTTAGGGAATGACCTTCAGAGGTGTGGTCGCATCTCTAATCAGGCATGTCTGAATTTTGTTTTCAGTGCAGTTTTTATTTACATTCGTTTTTGAAGTTATTTGTGAGGCAAAAAATCTTGAAATTTACAAATCAGTGGTTTGACTCAGACATTAAACCTCAAATGCTTATTGCCTCATCTATTTTGCCAAAAATAGGCTGATGTTTTATTACAACAAAGAGATTGAGGATGTCTCACTAAATGCTACATATTTATATAAAGAGAAAGGATATACATTTTAAAGAAACCTTGTGGTGTTTATATTATTTTAGCATAACTTAAGCTGAAAATGCAGCTTTTTATTGTTTGTGTCTGTACCTCAGATATAAATTACCATAATTTTGTGCCCATTTGTAATTTTATTTGCCCTTTGTTAATTTTATTTAACAAAGTTTATAGAAATGGATGGAATGAAAATGAAAAAGTTTAAATATTTTTTAGGTATTTTTTATGGTTGGACTGTTTTGGTTTTTTTACACAATAACGATAGCATGTTTGTTTATCATAAATAATATTTTTTCCTTCTTTATAGATGAAGCAGTCCATGGAAGAATTTCGAAACCTTGCTTCCCGATATGGGGATCTTTATCAGGCATCTTTTGATGCTGATTCAGCAACTTTAAGGAATGTAGAGCTGTATCCTGAACTTGCCCCAATGTGTCTTGTTCTTTTGAAGTATTTTTTTAAATGTGAATACCTCAGCTATGCTTGACTAAAATATATATGTTATATATCAGATAAGCCTATAAATTTATTATAATTAATAATTTCCCTTTTGGAATCTAGTATGAGAAGGATAATTTTACTTTTTAACTTAAACCAGCCTTTTTTAAAAAGTGGTGACTCAATAGTGGTCTTTCTCCACCTCTAGGAAGAGCATTCAAAACCCAGATCCTACCAGGACTTGCATATGTTGTGCACACCTGACCTACAGCAGACAACCCAAAACATTTTCGCACCAGGAAACTGTTTTCCGCTTTGTCTTACCTTTTATCTTATAGCCAACAACCCCAGTTCCCATCACCGTTATTAATGATCTATTAAATAGTTTTAGTCATCACTTTTGTTCCCTAAGCTCTCTTTAAGGTCTCCATATTTTCTTATTAAGCAGCCTCAAGTCCTTTTTGAGAAGAAGGAATAGATAAATTGTTTTAAGTTGTAAGACCTATAAATCAGTAGTTCTTGGTATTTTGGGTTACTGACTGAAAACCTAATGAATGCTATGGGCCCTTTCCCCTAAAAAATGAACATACCCATATTTTGCCATGTATAATGCTCTCCTGGGTATAATGTGCACCCATGTTTTTGGCCCACATATTCAGGGGAAAAAATCTTCTGTTTTAAATTTTTAATTCAATTATTTATTTATATTTAGATACTTGTTTTTTGTATTATAAAGGAATTTTAACATTTACTTTTGAACACACGGATATCATTATTGCTTTCTAGAGTTACACTTTTAACACATAAGCATAAATAAAAGAACTAAAAGCATTTATATAGATATGGAATTAGTATTACCCATGTATAATGTGCATCCTTATTTTTCCCTCAAAAATTTGTGCAAAAATGTGCGTATTACAGACAGCAAAATACGGTAATGCACCTACCCCTCAAAATCTGCATACAAGTGTAGTCCTGTTAACAGATCCCTTGAGTGCCAGTGTAGGATCTACTCTGCAAACCATTGTTGTTAGCCTTTATCAGAGAAACTGCTATGCCTAAAACAGATTAAAGACCGTTTATGTGGCTCTGGCTGGTGCAGTTCAGTGGATTGAATGCCAGCCTGCGAAGCAAAGGGTCACTGATTCAATTCCCAGTCAGCACATGCCTGGGTTGCAGGCCAGTCCCCAGTAGGGGGCACACAAGAAGCAACCACACGATGTTCCTCTCCCTCTCTTTCTCCCTCCCTTCCCCTCTAAAAATAAATTTAAAATCTTTAAAAAAAAAAACAGTTTCTATGAATCATAGAACCTGTTGCTTGGTTTTCCCTTCCCCAACTTGGCAGCCTCTGGAGTACACTTCCTGATACAGAAGTTGAGAGTAACTGTTTCCGATACCATATAGCCCTTAAATGGAAAAAATAGAGTCCCAAACTAGATAACATGTGCTTCACTAAAATTATGATCCTCACCTTGACTTCTTTAATAGTCAGATAATATAAAGTCTATAGTAGATTTCTTTATTTTCAGGTATAACCTTAACATGAATCCAGACAGCAGCAGAGCTGTTTACTGATATCTCATGCAATAGAAGCTCTGATTTTGGACCCAGAATCCGCAAGGTATTTCTAATAATAGTTTACATTAAAGAGAACTTTTAAATATGTTATGTTACATAACTATCACAACAGTGTTTTAGAAGAGGTATTATAAAGGGCGGGGAGGGGGGACCCAGATGAAAAACTTCTTCAGCATTTGTCTAAGGTCATGTAGCTAGTAACAAAACCTGGGTTTTCTGACAGTATCGTTTCCTTATTTCCTAACTCCTAGTTCCTCAGCATTGACTTCAAAAAATAATTGGGAAGAAATTCATTAAATTTGAACATTTTCTTTTCATTTATTATAACTAAATTTTGGTATGAAAAATTGAGCTAATAATATAATTAAACTTGAACTTTATGTTTTTTTCCTTTGGTTTCCCAAACAAAAAGATACTGCCATTTTTGCTTTATTACAATTCTTCCCTCCACCATTAACTAATTAATTATTCAAATATTTTAATAAAAGATGACCCATTGGTTTTTCCCATTATAATATTCTATTTTTGGAATATGAATTTTCAGCTCTTTATAATTTCAAATCTAGTAAGGCCTGTGATTCCAAGATCAACTTTCTCAAAGAGAATATAATCAGCAATTCATTTTAAATTTCTTTATCCTAAAAGGTTGAGTCACTGTTTCCTTTCAGGGCAATACCAAGTTCCTTGTGTTCTGTTTTAAAGTACTACTTACTCTCAGACAAGTCCACTTGTTTTTTTACCCACTTATCTGACCTATTTTAATATTTTCATGACATGCTAATTTTTATTTTTTGTCTATTTATCCTTCTCTCGTCTGTGTTTATTTTCCCTAGTCTGCAGTGTTGACTTGCTGTGTTGTTTTTTTTTTTCCAAACAAGCTCCTCCTGTTTAAATTTGAAGATGTTCTTAAACCTCCATATTTTTCAGAATCTTTGCAATTAATTGATCAGGTCACACCATTTCTCATTATACAATAGTATATAACCACTTAAAAATCAAGTGTCATTGTACTGTTGGTTGACATAAGAGAAATTAGTGATTTTCTTGATTAACTTGTGATCAGAGAGATAGGCACATTGTCAGCAAGGATGGGGTACAGGGACGGATCTAGCCAGCTTGCAATGTTGCTCTCTCACCCTCTCCCCTTCCTACCACTTTTCTTCACGCTCCTCTGTCCCCTTTTATCCCTCAGACCCATTCCCCTAGCCTTTTCCCTTCATAGAAATGAAAAATTAGGGGAAAACCTGGTACTTTGACGGAGAGGTCTTTGGGTTTTATTTGCAATAGTATCTAACTACAAGGAGTAGATTCCTCCTAAAACTTCTTTTCTTGATAGTATATATTCTGAGTAAAGAAGGGCCTATTGCTAAAAAGACCTTCTGAGTAAAGAAGGGCCTACTGCTAAAAAGAACCTCAAAAGAATGATGTGTGACATTGATATTTCATTGTAGTTTTTACAGAAATCTGTGTATCTCTTTCATAACTTAGAAGGTGTTTTTTGGGAAAAGACACCTTGTTTTGTTCAACTTTGTATCTCTAGTAGCAAACATAGTACCTGTGCTGCTGTATCAGTAAATCTGTGACAGGATGGGAGCGATGTTTATAATCATGAATGTTATTATCTACCTTATACCAACTTTCAGGACTATCAGGAAAAAATATTTTGAGATGCTTGTTCATTACATTTTACTATTCTAGCTTCTTATTCAGTCTGTCATGATTCCTTTACATTTAACCTTTATTTATACTGCCTACAAAATAAGGGTACAACTACAGGGACAGTTTTAAATACTTTTATACTACCTAACAACCGAAATGATAAAGACACATATGTAATTTGAAGTCAAGTCTGGGTTTGAATTCCAGCTTGTCACTTACTACGTACATGAGACTGAAGGCAAATTACTTAACCTCTCCAAGCCTCAGTTTCCTTATCTATAAAAGGGAATTAACAGTGCATACTTCATTTTAAAAACTGAAATGAGAATGTGTGGAAAGAGCCTGATGCATTTAGGCGTAACATAGTTACTGTTGTGGTTGCTTAATTGATACTGATTTTTAACTTCAGTTTCCAGGAATATGGATCTGTTGGAGCAGCCCATGCCGACAGTGAATATGAGAGAAGAATGATGTCTGTATATAATCATGTCTTGGAGGAGGTGGAATCACTCAATCGGAAATATACTCCTGTTTCTTACATGGCAAGTTGCATTTGTTTCACTGAGTTTTTATTATGTGCAAGTGGGTCTTTACCCATTTCTGGTACTTAGGGTGTGACTTCAACAAGTCAGCCTGTCTGTGCCTCTTTCCTCTGTGCCTGTTTTGTGGCAGGGTTAATATGGCATGCACCTCACAGCACTGTTATGAGGATGACATGAGAAGATGATCCATGAAAGCACTTAGCACATCTGTAGCTGCTACAGTCGCATTAAGAGGTCAGATCTGCTCTACCAGAATGCAGATACAACTTCTTTTCTTTTTTAACAAGTTAACTGAAGTTGTAATTGTTCTCAACCCAAGCTATACATTAGAATCACTTCAGAAGCTTTTTAAAAAATACATCAGTATGCAGGCCCCACCCCAGACCAAATGAACTCTGAATATGTGTAGTTGAGGCCCAGGCATTAGCATTTTTGACAGCTCCCAGGTAATTCTCTCATGCTACCAGAGTTGAGAGAAACTGTAGACTAATTGATACCGAAAGAACTGGGCTTGTTATATGACTGACAGTAAATCAGTTCTGCAAGGTGACGCCAATGACACTGTTTAGTAGACTTGTCTGCCTTTCGCCTCCTGAATCTCTGCTGCCTTGGGCACTGGTGAGCACTCAGTCTGTTCAGTCTGTCACCTGACTCCCCAGTTGCAGTACTGATGGACACCCTCTCACCTAGATTTTCTCTTCCGCATCTGGCCAGTCTCCAGTGTCTTAGCTCAGGTCACTGGAACAGAATACTGTAGACTTGGTGGCTTAAGCAGAAGATATTTCTTTCTCACAGTTTTGGAAGCTTGACGTTCAGGATCGTTTTTTTAACAAGCTAAGTGATGCCAACCAATTTGGTTCCTGGTGAGGGTCCTTTTGCTGGATTGTAGGCTGCCTCACTGTGTCCTAACATGTTGTATAGAGCTCTGGTCCTCTCATTTTATAATGCCACTAATTCAATCATGGGGGCACCACCTTCATGACCAATCGAAACCTAGTCAACTTCCAGAAGCTCCATCTCCACAAATACCAATATATTGGGAGTTAGGGCTTTGTTATATGAATTTGGAGAAGGCATGCACATTCAGTCCATAACACTGTCTTTGAACTTTTACTCCTTGGAGAGTTTCTCTTGCCTTGCTCACACAGTAGATGCTGATATTCCCCATAGCTCTCTTCTAGTTCCTGCTCTTCTCATTCTGTATTTTCACCATTTATTAGGTATTTTAGAAGAAATTGGCAGGATATGTTGTTAAAGAGTTAGATTAGATTTTAAGGACAGATACTTTCCTTGACATACAGCATCCCATGTAAAGTCATCAGTACATATTTGCTGAATTGATTGACACAGGTCTGACACTCAGATTGGTTGCTAAGGGAGATTGTAAAGATGATCTTTGAAGTAAACACACACATCTGTGTTAGACATTGATTAAATTATTTTCATACTCCCTCTAAGCTGCACCCTAAGAAATTAAGTAGATGCCAAACAGTAACTTGAGTTTAAAGGAGTTGAATCCACTGAATATATGGAAAGAAGGGGAAGTTTGTGCTCAGTAGGAAGCACAGTACAGAGAAAAGAGTCTTAGGTTCAAACTCACCCTCTGCCATTCAGCAGGTCTGTAATTTTCAACAGATTTTAAACATCCTTTTCTATGACACGGAGACAACATCTACCTCATAGAGTTACTGTGAAGTTTAAATGAAATAATGTGTATTGCCTAGCACAGCGCCTGGCCTGGCACATAGTAGTAGTTAATAAATATTCTCTTTTTTTCTCCACATTGTATTTTACATATTTGATATTATCTGAGCCCCAAATTCAGTTCCACAAGTATTTACTGAATCCTAGTAATAGAAAAATGGCAGACACAGGGTCTCCCTTCGTGTTGCCTGTAGTCTAATAAGGAAGATTTTGTAAATAAACACAATACAATGTATGTGCAGAAATAGAGCTCTGCAGAAGGTAAAGATGTAGCACAAAAGAGAAAGTAATTCATGTCAAAGGATAGGCAAAATGGGGTAAACGTGTAAGTCAGAAGATGTCTTTGCATATGAGTTTTCCAGGCAGATAAGGAGGGTAGATAATTTCAGGCACAGAACAGCATGTTCAAAAGCAGAGGCATGAAATCAGATGGTGTCTTCTGTGCACAGTTTACTTTGCAGCAGAATGTACAGATTGGGAAGAGAGGTAGACAGAAGGCTTTGAACACAGTATTAGGGAGTTTGCACTTCATCCTGTAGGCACTGGCATGTTTTTTAGGAATTTTTAATGGGTAGGGGAGAGAAGTGGTTAAGATTGTGCATGTACCTGTTATGTAGGCACAGAACAGGTAATGGCTTGGAGGTCAAGAAATTAGAGGGAAGAGGTTTGGCTTCTGCTGTAATCCAGGGTAAGGGCCTGATGAATGTAAGAAGCAGGGATGAGAACGGATATGTAAGAAAGGTACTGAGGGGCGACATTGTCAAGGCTCGGTTGATTGGTTTAATTAGATGTGAGAGGATGGAGGCATGACCTCCAGGTTTCCAGGTCAGCAACCACATAAGTGGTTGATCCTTTACTGAGACAGGGACTACAGAGGGATGGTGGAAGAACATGAAGGTTTCACTTTTAAACCTGTGGCTGTCTTATAGGCAATTGGATGATAGTCTTGTGTCAGAAGGAGACAGGCTGGGAAACATGTAAGGTCATTATGAGCGTAGAGGTTCTTAAAGTCATGGGAGTAGAGAAATTGCCCATTAGGAACTAAGGACTAAAAAGAGAAAATGACTAAGGAGATCATCAACATTTAAGGAAGAAGCAAAGGAAGAGCATCTTAGGAAAGAAGATGGAAAGGGGAAGATTCGGAAAAGTGAGGGCAGCGGCCATAAATGAAATTCCTTGGAAGAAGAGTATTATCAGGTGCCACAGTATTGTCAAAAATACAGAGGCTGACCCTGGCTAGTGTGGCTTGGTGGATTGAGCACTGGCCTGTGAACTGAAAGGTTTCTGGTTTCATTCCCAGTCAGGGGACAAGCGTGGGTTGCAGGCCAGGTCCCCTATTGGGGGCGTGCAATCGATGTTTCTCACCCTCTTCTTCTCCCTCACTTCCCCTTTCTCTAAAAATAAATAAATAAAATCTTCAAGAAAAACATACAGAGGCTGAAAAGTATAGGATTTGGCAATGAAGAGGGTGTCAGTGATGCACTCGTCTTCCTGCTTGGTTTAGAAACCATGATAGGCGATTTCACATCTCCAGCCTGTTGCTGTAATAGTAAATTGCTGTTAACTTACCTGGGGAGTTGTGCCCCAGGGCTGGTGGCCTCAGAGGTAGTCCTGCATTCCCAGAGGGGACTTGCAAATATGTATCCATTCTTTTAAAAGGGAGAATGGTGCTTTTTGCCTGGGAGCAGCCTGAGGTCACTTGGAGTCCACTAAGTCCTGAGGTCACTTGGAGTCCTCTAAGTTTATCCTTTACAGATGTTTTCTTTTCTTACACACTATTGTGGCATCAAAGGTTCCACCACAAATAGGATATCCCTGCAAATGCTTCCCAGCCGGAAAATGAATGGTGCTGTTTCAGCAGTTAAACCTGAAAAAAAAATAGACCCAGTGTCTTTAGATCTGTGTTATCATTCTCTCAAGTAATAGACCTGGCATTTGTATTAGTACTAGTCAGTCAGCCACAAAATATTCAATAGCCTGAAACCAGTGAGGAGTGGATTCTTCTGGCTCTCGGCCTTACTGCCCAACTTATGAAAAGTGTTTACAGCGTAGGTGAGGATAAATTTTATACATATGTAAATATGTAAGACATAAATATAAATGTATATATTTATATAAATATATAATTTTATATATAAATTTTATATATAAAGTATATTTTAGATATAATTTATATATTTATGTGTAAATAATATATAAAATTTTATAAATAATAGATAAATATTTTTATATATATAAAAAATAGCTTTGATGCTTTCATGGGTGTATAATTACTTCCATACCCATCGAGTTGTATAAATTAAATATATACAGCTTTTTGTATGTTATTGTATATCAGTAGAATGGTTTTAAATTAAATAAATAAATAATCTTTGAACTCTTAAATTCTGGTTCCGTGATCCTTTTCAGTAAGATTCAAAGGATTTACTATAGTATTACTGTTAATCTGTAGTAAATGCTAGGATTTTCAAAACTCAGTGAAGTTTGTGAAATACGAGAAATAAGGTATTTTATTAAAGTTTCAGAATTCTGTAGAGTTGGACTATATAGTCATTCTTAATCTGAATTCCAGTAAGATTTTGCCATTGCCCACTCTCTGGGACCTCATGGCCATAGGGTCAGGGGACTGCCCTGTGGAGAAGGGTCGACAGAATGAGGCAAAGTCGAAGTTCCACGTGGGATTTGGTGTCAGCTCTCGAGTGTCAATATACTGCTCTCGCTTCTTTACCATATACTTTTTCTCATACTTTGCCATACTTTATAAAAATGATAGTTACTGTCTATTTTAAGGTCATAATATGTTTACTAGCTCTAAGCTCCATAGAAATGCAAATTTTGCATATTGCTTGGCCTTGAGCAATGTGGATTTTCTCCCTTTTGTCATTTATTTTTTATTGAATGTACTACTTCAAAATAAAGTAAAAATCTGTAATTGTACTCCTTAACATGAATGATTTGGCAAATGTTCACAGTTCATGGGTATTATGACTATTTCCTCATTGACAGTATTATTATTGATTTTGTAATAATATATATGAATGTTTGTAGCAACTTCTTCCTGAATGTACCATTTGTTGATGAAATTCGGAAATTTATTTTTACTTGATTCAGGTTTTTTCCCCCCCTACAGCATACAGCATGCCTCTGCAATGCCATCATTGCTTTGCTGAAAGTCCCTCTTTCATTTCAGAGATACTTTTTCCAGAAACTGCAATCTACCAGCATTAAGGTAATATAGGAAGAATGCTAAAGTTAATAGAGATTAACAACCCTGTTAACTTCTACAGATTAAATGGGGTGTAACTGTGCTTCCTGATCTGACCTTTGGTTTTGATAAAACTTATGCTCTTGAGTTGTAAGCCTTTCTTCCCTTTACCAATTGGTTTGGTGAAGGGAATGGAATGCCTGTCAGTACAAAATGCAGCGAGACAAACGTTTGGGTCCCTGGAGATCTGTTCTTTGGCTCCCTATTGCAAGGGCATGTTAAGTGGTTTTCAGCATAGTTGCCGACAAGGATCTTGAGCTGAATTCACCTCTGGTCAGTCTATTCAGACCTAACTTCAAATGAAACAAGTCCAGCAAAAACCAGTCCTTCCTCCAAAGTACTTTTGTCTTTAACAACTTTTGAGGAGTTGACCAATGAATAGAATTAGTATTTTAAAATATTTAAACTACTTAAAATTTGAAAGCCATTTTTGTTTCAAAGAATGGAATTATTGGGAAAGGGGGAAATTGTCACTTCTGACACATTTCCTGGATTATTCCTGTCAGTAAATGTCTTTAGTACATTTTGGCATCCATTCAAATGTTTTTGATTGCAAATAACAAAGCAGGCCATTTCAAACAACCTGGATAAAGAAAATTGACTATCGAAATAAGAAACCCTAAGGTAGCAGGTCTCCAGAGTTGATTAATTCAGTGGTTCAACAGCATTATCAAAAAGACCCAATTTTTTTTCCATCTTTTTATTTAGCAGGACTTGAGCTTTCTGTAGTTGAAGTGGATTTTTAATATGTTTTTTAAAGAAAAACTACTCTAATGAGAGGTTTTAAAATGTCATTTGGTCCATTTGTGGGAATTAACTTTTATACCATGGTGACTTGGTTATGTATGTAATCCTAGAATTTTAAGTTCATTTGCATTTGAATTTAGTCAATTTAAAATTACCTAAGACCAAAGAGACACCTGCTGGACATGAAAATTTACATAGTGTATTTCCCTATTAGAATTGGTTCATTGCCAAAGAAATACCTCTCCACAGAAATTGGGAGAGAAGTGCCTTCACTTTTCTCTAATCTTCTGTTACCCTCAAATAGGACTGGGGCTTGGGGTTAAAAAAAAATAGTAAAAAATGTGTATTTAAAAGGAGACATTAGGAATGAGGAACCCTTGACTTTAAAGGTACATCTGTCTGGTTGTCCCAGCCTAGTCGGAATGAGAGAGAGAGAGAGAAAAAGAGAGAGAGAGAAACGTTTTAACCCATAACCAGAGATTAGCACGGACATGCGTTGGAAGGAAGCCTATTCTTGGTGATGAAGGTTTCTTTTGATATTGTTATTCCAGCTTGCTCTGTCCCCATCCCCCCGGAACCCTGCGGAGCCCATTGCTGTCCAGAACAACCAGCAGCTGGCGCTGAAGGTGGAGGGAGTGGTTCAGCATGGATCTAAACCAGGGCTCTTTCGCAAAATTCAGTCTGTCTGTCTGAATGTTTCTTCCACGCTACAAAGTAAATCTGGACAAGACTACAAGGTAATTAAAGGGGCAGAATTATGATGTGATTTAATCAGCTCATTGATGGAAGTTTTCTAGTGTTTTTCGTGGTTAAACAGATTGCAGTTCTGCCTCCCCGGGGATCAGATGGACACGAGGTAAAAGCACATATTAGGGTTTCGGAGGCTGATAATGATACTTGTCTTTTCCCTGCCTGAACCATTTGATAGACCAAACACCCACGCAGACAGAGATCAAACTGTGAGTGTTGTTGCTGTTGGAGCCAGGGAGAAACCTAGCTTGGGTGCCTGGTAGTAAGGACCTCTGGGCTCGTACCTCTGAATTTCATTTTCCCACTCAGCCTCAGCCAGTGCACACAAAGCCTGCCCCGTAAAACTAACGCAGAGAGGAGCACCTGAAGCCTGAAGAAGGAAGAGAGAATATACTGAGCTCCCCATGCCCGGTCCCCACCCCGAAACTTCACTGTCAGTGGGATTCACCACCTCCTCAGGAGACTGGTACTGTTCACCTAATGAAAGGTCCTTTCATGTTGAGGGAAACAGCAGGAGTGGGGAGTAAGTGTCTCCATAGCCTCTCTGCCCCCAAAAGAACAGGTCTATTTATTTTTCTCTATTCTAAAGAAATTTTAGCATTTTCAAAAAAAAAAAAAGTGCAGTACAGCATTGACATACAGTGGTCAGAGGTAAAATCTTTCCTATGGGTATAACCCTAGGGATTTGCTGTTTTGAGAATCATGGGCTGTGTTAACCAAAATCATGCGTGCTTTGTTAACCAAAGCTAAGATTCTGAATTTGTGTCCATGAAATGCCAGTGTTCCAAACATAGAATGTTTCTTCCTTGAGACATCTCTTTCTCCTTCTGCAGTGGTTTATTCCCAGTAAATAGAGCAAGGTATCAAGAACACAGTTGTATGAACAGAATTGTTCAGAGGCTCAGATTGCCAGTGTCCGGGTTTTTTGGGGGGCGTGCTTGAACTGGGGTTCATAGCAAGGAAAGGAGTATCAGCAAAGACCAGGAGAACATTTTGTTCTCTCTGGTGGTTTTAGGCTAAAAAAGCCAAGGGGAGGTCTGGTTTAGGCTATCCTCGCTTTCTTTACTTCGGTAGCGCTCTCTGGCACTCTTCGCCCTGTCTGATAAGGCTCGGTCTTCATTTTCTTCTCTTCCTCTCCTCTGACTTTCATGACCCAAAGCGTGGTGCCTTATGTAGCCACTCACTAGATGCTTGGTGACGAAAAAATCATTTACTCTATTTAGAGTACAACTGTTATGTTTAGGTGGTCTCTCTTGTCTCAGAAAATCATAGTGAGAATTTACATGGTTAACTGTCTGCAGCCCTCTCCTCACTTTGAGTTTGAAAGAACAGTACCCATGATTCTGTCTGTTCCTTATATATAATGATTTCTACTATGAAGAAAAAAACATTAAAACTGAGAAGTACTGGTCTTTTGCTTGCTGACTTACCGCTTGAGAGGCAGTGACTAAAGTCATGAAGCTGATACAGTAAATCATGTTGTACATGGTTGCTTTGTAATGTTGTTTGCGGTGGGTTTGCAACTTAAAATGCAGCCTCCGTTTAAAGCCATGAGGTCCTTCTCTGGTCCTTATAAGGAAGTTCTTTTTTGGTGGGCATATTCTTTAGGAAAATAAAAACCCTACAAAAGTTGAATATGCAAACAAAAACAAAAAAAAGACCTATAAATAATTCCAGGATCTTGAATTGGTTGGTGACATTGTTTCATTAACATTACATGTAAATGACCATGGAAAACTGACTTGATAACTGCTTATTAAGACAAAGCTTGAGGGCACATTTATATAATTAATTATACAACAGAAGCACACTTAAACGTAGAGCAATGCAGTCAAATACTCACTATGTTTACCTTTATATGCATTGTCAGAAAAAGTGTCTCTGACATACTTCATCTTGTGTCGAGGTAGGGTTACATCTTGACTTTGGAGGACAACAGCATGAGTGTCTGTCTAGCTAAATAAATTAATAAGCCCATAAATCTGTGTTTTACAGTATTTAGTACTGCCAATCTGAACAAGACACTGAATCAGTGAGCGATGTACAAGTTCTGAAGATAATTTAATTCTAAAGTTAATACTAAAGGAGGGAAGAATCGCTGTATTACTTAAGAGATATAAAAGCAGACTAGGAGGAAAAAAGCCTAACTTATATATACCAAGTGTGTTACGTTCTTTGCAACCTCTTACATTTTAAAATCCTGGAAACAGGTGGTTGCTTCCTATTTCTTCAGAATGCCTTTTCACAGACTAAAGAAAGATGGGAATTAGAGTTGGGATCAGGTAAGCAAGTGTAAGGGAGGAAAAATTTCTCTTCTGTCCTCTGAGGGTCTCCAGCTGGGCCTAAGGTTAAACTGACATTAAGGCAGATTAACAGGAGGAAAGCGTACAAATGTTAGTAGAATTTTACATGTAGATGGGAATCTTTACAAGAGAATAAACACCCGATGAAGTTACCAGAGCAGAAAGTTTATGTACCTTTAGACACAGAAATGATAACTTCACTACGAAATGACAAGACAAAGGTATTCGGGCTTGGGGCGTTAAATTGTGAAGAGGTGACTAGGACACCCTTCGGGGCAGTGGGCCAGACCAGTGGAAGATAAGGGTTATTTTAGTAGGTTTGTACAGATCCATTTCGACATCGGTGCCCAGTCTCTGATAAGGATGCTCTTCTCTTCCTGGTATAGGGAGGCTACCTTTCTTGTGGGAAATTTTACTGCCTATTTTAGGTAAACAGGAGCAGGTCAGAGACCCCTGCTTGCATCTGTTGTTTCTCTAGTACCTTTAGCTCAAAATAGTCAGGATGCCAAAGCAGCATGTTTTGGGGTGACGTGTCCCAAACGCCTTCACCAGGAAGGGAGGCAAGCCTAGGAAGGGGTTGAGAGACTCTGGGAGCTCCTTCTGCAAGGACAGTGAAGAGTCGGGTCCCTCCAGAGCTAAGAGCATAGGCCCTGCGTTTAGCCTGCCCAGGTTCAGAGGCCAGCTGGCTCCACCACTGATTCCTGCTTGAGCTTGGAGAAATTACTTAACCTCTCTGCCTCAGTTTTCTTATCTATAAAGCAAAGATAGTAATTGTACGTACCTCTTGGTGGTTTGCATGGATTAAGTAAGCACTTAGGCAGGGCCTAGCTCATAATAAGCACTCAATAAATGTTAGCTATTGTTGTTATTTAACAATTCTTTCATTCCAGATACCCATTGACAATATGACCAATGAGATGGAGCAGAGGGTTGAGCCTCATAATGATTACTTTAGTACTCAATTTCTGTTGAACTTTGCCATCCTTGGAACACACAACATTACAGTGGAATCTTCAGTGAAAGACGCCAATGGCATCGTATGGAAGACCGGTCCCAGAACTACCATATTTGTAAAATCGCTGGAAGACCCTTACTCCCAGCAAATTCGCCTGCAGCAGCAGCAAGCCCAGCAACCATTACAACAGCAGCAACAACGAAATGCCTACACGCGGTTTTAACCATGAGACGAATGCACTACAGACTTTACAGGGATTGAATAAATTGACAAAAATACTTTGCTTTTTCATATGGATTAAGATATGGAAGTTATAATGTGGAGTCCATTTACTCATTGGTTTTTGTAATGTAATATTCTGAAACAATGTGGGTTTTTTCCTTAAAAATTTCATTTGAGAAAAACTGAGTTCCTAACCAGATTTCTTTTCTTTTCCTTTAACCAGGTTCTTTATCTCATATTTGACATTTTCATTCTAATATTATTCTTTTAACTGTTGCTGAGCCTTTCCTTTTTCTTTTAAGTCACATATTGGGATCATTGAGTTAGTAAATTTGACTGCTTCTTACCAAAGCATATCACTTGCAGCCTGACACAGACCTCCGATTCTGAGCTAAGCCTTGGGAGGTTCTGACCAGCAAGTGCAGTGTAAGAAACTGAGTCCTCCCATCAGTGGACTTGACAGTCTCCTGAAACATCCGTTCTTCTGGGTTATGAGAGCAGGCAGTCCAACAGAATTGAAACATCCTGCTATATTATTTCAACTACTTACCTATCAGTTCTGTACTAAAGCAAATTTAATTTATTGTTTTAGTATTTAATTGACCCAAAGAGCAGCTTAAAGTAAATTACATAGAAAGGTTGGACATTAATAATTTGTTTTTTTCTAATAATATGTGCAATTGTGTGGACTTTCTACATTGTTTCTAAGAGTGAAAAAAAATCACTCTCATTTAATTTCTTAATGTTTTTAAGTAGGAGGGCAGGTCTTTGATTGGTTTAGTTTCTTCTTGGCAAGTGATGTAATGCTAGACTCAACTGTCTAGAAAGAACATCTCTTTATAGCACAACTTCAATTAGTTGGAATGCTCAGGGAATAGAAATTTCTGGTTATCCAGAAATCCCCTTTTTTCTATTTCAGTACTCGTTGAAAACCATGATAAAATCTAATAATAATATACTTTCCTGTCTTAATACAGTATACTAGATATAATTTAACTGCTCCTTCTTGATTGGGGATCATTCAGTTCTTTGGGATCATGATTTCTGAACATCAGGGATCACGGCATTGAGATATTGGTGATGTGGGCACTTGCGCTCAAAGCAGCTCCTAAGATGAAGCAGGCACATTCCTTGGAAGTTTCTTTTTAAAATAAATCTCTCAATTTCTTTGCTTGTGTTTGCCTTTTTCTCTTTAAAGTTGACATTGGCTCAAATGAGGGATGGAGTTGAAAGGAAAAAATGAGGTTTTGGTTTTATTTCCTTGTCATATGGCCTTTGTGGGTGAGAAGTAATTGGCAACTCGGGTCTTTCCAAGATCACTTGGCTTCATGAGCTATTGTCACACCGCAATACATTCCACTGCTAACAGAACATTGTCACAAAACATGTAAATCTATAGCGGCCACTGTAGATGACATCTGTGTAGATGTGGCCCAGTTATACCCAGTACGTGATATGCACAGTCATGACAGCATCTGAGAACGGAAGCTTTGGGAAGAATTGCCCGCAGTGCGGAGGATGTGATGGGCCCCGCCCCCGCCCCGCCCCGCTCTTTTACTAGTAGAGCTGAGTCAGAAAGAAGGGGCTCCACTTTGGGCCTTGATGAATTAGCTCTGTGGCCTGGGGCAAGTCACTTCATCTCTGTAGACTTTAGTTGCTTTGTCTGTAAAATGGCTGAATTAGCTTGCGACACTGGACTCCAGTCTAGAGTTTTGTTATCAGACGTGTGAAAGACTTAAAGATCGCCCCCACCAAAAAAAAAATTGGGGAAAAATCTTTTTTTATTCATTAAATGGATATTTTCCAAAGGAAATTCTACATTGTTGATTTCAGATTTCTGGTACTGTTTCAAGGCAGAGTTCTCTAGAAAAGAAGCCAATCTTGGGGGAAAATTTTGATAGCTCTAGTTATAAACTCTGTGACTTGGTGTGCCGCTGGGCCCCTGGCTCAGACTTGGAAAAGAATTGTGAAAATAAAAACATCCAAATAGTTGAGTATAAAAAGAACTTTGTATAAAAAAAAAAAAAAGAAAAGAAAGAAAGCTATATTATTTCAGTACATCTATTAGATCCAGATTTGGGACTCTGATATTATGCTTGGTATAATATCTACTGCATTTTTGGCATCAACTGTTAAACAATTAGTTGTGGTGCAAGGAAACTTTATAATTTCAACACTAGTGAATGAAAAGAAAAAGAAATAACTCAAGGAATTATGCAGAACAGAAAAATACACATACTGATTATGAGGTGAGTATGTTCCCTGAATTTAGAAATATGGATAATAAAGGGCACAGGCTGATTGATTCTAAGAAAACAGGACTTAGCTTTCTCAGTGTTTAGTAACTTTGCAGTGTAACCTGATGGTTAAGAGCACAACCCCTGAAGCCATATTGGCACAGTTTAAACCCTAACTCTTTAATTTGTGACCTTGGACAAGCTGTTTAATCTCTCTATGCTTCATTTTCCTTTTAACTAAAATGAGGAGGCACAGTAGTGTTTCATGGGATAGGTGTGAGGATTAAGCAAATTATTATAGAATTAATATGTATATAAACAGAACTTACCTAGCACAAAGTAAGTAGATATATGTGTTTGCTGTCATCATTGTCACCCGCACTGGTATTATCTTTCACAGTGTTAGACCAGTTTTTAATCTCAGCATTTTATTTATTCAGAATAAAAGTTACCTTTTCCTGCTACTAAACACATTTAAGCTGTCTTCTCTCCTATTCAATTTGGGTACATAGAGCAATAACAAAATAATTTAATGTTGACTTAAAATGGGATTTCTGTCTATACTTCTGTAAATCCTATTTAATTAAAATATTTAAAGACAAACATACAAAGAAAATTATGAAAATGCTTTCTAAGGCTACTGATTACCTTTAAGGGTGATAGCAATATTAACTGTTTCAAAATTAAAGTACTACTATATGCCAGTTAAAACAGAGATTTGAGATACCACCTTTCTAACTCAAACCAAGGTACCAGGTAATTTGCAACTGGAGGCTCTCAGTCACTTTTTATATTAAGATACAGTTCAAAGAAGAACCAACCAACCAAACAAGATTGTCACATTAGGGTCTCAGAGATGTCTGTTTAAGTTCTATTTATAAGATCACTTGCCATGAATCTTTGGATAGGTCACTTGATCTTTCCATACCAATATCTGCCAACAGTGTTGAGAACAGGGTGACCCCACCAGCGGGTACATAGAGTATATACAGCACTGTCCAATAGAAGTTTCTGTGGTGATGGAAATGTTCTAAGTCTGCACTATCCTGTTCAGCCGCTAGTTACACACAGCTATCGAGTATCTAAAATACAGCTAGTGTGGCTGATCTTTTATTTACTTCAAATTCAGTTAAATTCAATTAGTCTCATATGGCTACTTCCTATAGAATTGAACAGTGCAAGAGTGAGCAGTGAAGAAATGAAATCCACTATTACCCTGACAGGGATAACTCTAAGTTTCTAGACAAGGGATCTACCTTGGAATTATTCAACACACCAATGGTTTCACATGGAAGATTGTGTAGATGACAAGGTATTTGAGATTTTTACGTTTGCTTTGCATCTGGTGATAAAATACCACCAGATGCAAAGCAAACTGTTACTCAACCAAACACTCAGCCCTGTCCTTTCTATAATGTGCCCTTGGATTTAGCCTTTGTCAGTCAACAATGTTAAAAGCATGATGGGATGTAGTGAGAAGTCAAAAAGTCTGGAGAATTGGCTTAGATTTCCTACCAGTTATACTCCATTTCTTGCCCAAGAACACAAAGACCTTTTAACATTATGGGCTGTGTATTTTATTGGCTTAGCTGAAGCTAATGCATTATCCTGTGGTATGTAGCCTGAAGTACTCATTCTATGAGCAAGTTAATTTTTAATTGTAATTGAGATTCAAACAGAGTGAGTTGTGTTGTTTTCCTTAAATGACATACCAAGACCTAGAGCCATTGATTTCCACATTCTAATGAAGAACATGAAATGTAAATTAACTTTTTTCAAACTACAGTTACACAGTTACAAAACACTTTTCAGTCTGCATCTTTTACCTTGTCCTCTGCTCGCTTGTTAATCTGTCCCAGAGCCATTCTCTCCTGCACAGCCAAGTTCATTGTGCAGTTGCCCTCTTTGCTTATCATGCAGGTTAAAGATTGAAACTTGGTGAAAAGAGTTTGGGAACTGTCTTCCTTACGGATCATGTCTACAGGTGAGCCTTTGTTTATTGACACCTAGCTGGAAAACAGACTAAAAAATATTTTTTATTGTGGTTTCCAGATTTTTTTTTTTAGTGAAATTATGGAGGTGATACAATATTAAATGAATTAGATCAATCAGGAAAATGAGCCTCTACCCCGTATCCTCAAAAGTCAAGATGAGTTCAAGAAAAAGAGATTGTACGCAGAGAAGAATATTCTATAGTTCACCTTTTGGCTTTCCTGGGAGATTTTATATGTGGATTTTGATGAAGCTTATTTGTGGCTATGAGTCAAAAATACTTAAAATAGAGGACTAGGACAAATAAAATAGGACTGAATTTGACTGAGGCATTATGAGAAGATACTAAAGTCTATTTTTGTTTCCCAATGCCATGGAAGGTGAAAGTAAGCTGCGTTGCCCCAAAAGTTCATTCTACCTTTGGAAAGAGTGAGGCTAATGGTGCTTTTTGTCTTTGTGCGCCATCTCACCTGGAGGAGAGGAACAAAAGAGATGGTGAATTGTTAATACTCATAACCCCAACCTTGCTTTCCCTTCCCCACCCCCACCCACCAGCAAAGGCAGACCGCATGTGATCAGGAGGGTCAGTTCCCAAGTTCTCCCCATGTGGCAAGAGATGTGGGTGAAAAACCTATAGAAATGCAAGCAGGGAGAGAGGGCGTGTCCTGAGATGTGCCCATACCATGCCAGGTATTGATGAAACATTGATGGGTTGCCTCTCAGCTCACACCCCAGGCATGTGCCCTGACTGGGAATCGAACCAGCGACCTTTTAATTGGCAGGCCGGTGCTCAATCACACTGAGCCACACCAACCAGGGCAAGACCTCTATTTTCAGAGGATGTGAAGAGGGCTTTATAAAACCTGTTGACAGAGTACAAAAGATGCCATTTCTGAAATTATGATAGTATCACCCCTTGGACGTTGCAGTCAGGACAGGCTCCTAGGTAATTAGAAAAGTAGCCCCCATGTGGCATTTTCTCCTTTTGCAGCCCTGGGAATGCAGGTGTTCCTTCCTGCTCAGAAAGCCTCTTCTTGACATAATCAGAGACAATTGAGTACCTCCTACTTGGAAGCCAGAGAGGAATAGAAGAGCATTTGGAACAAAAGGTAAAGTGTAAAGTCAATATTTGCCTCAAGGAGATAGATCCTTAACACTCAAAATGAAGTAAACATTGTGCCACGTTGCTGAAGCTCCTGCTGCTTCTTACCAGGCTGTTGGATGACATGGATCCCTCGATGTCACATGCCAAGTTATCAGGACCTTAGAGAGAAGTGACTGTAATCATGGAATCACTTAAGCGATGTCAAATCTGTCTTAGTGTTCCGGTGTCACCGGGGATGTGCAAAAGCATACTAGCTGTGGCTCGAATTGTCTCAGATCGAATGCATCTGGAACCTCCTTGAGGACCCTTGACGCCGGAGGGCCTGTGTGTCCTAAGCACTGCCGCCCCCCTCTCCCCTCCCCCATGTGGCTGACCAAGAGTAACTGATGGGAAGCATTTTTCCTTCATCCTGAGTACTGAGGGTAACTCCACTGAGATCGCAGGGCATTATAGCTCAGTCAGCAACATTTGTCTGAGCAGGAATTTGTGAGCTCAAGCAGATTTCCAGATCTATGCCAAAGGCCCAGCCAACAAGAACACAATTTTCTAAAGAGGTGACCTTTTATTCAATAAATCTTTCTTGAATATGTACAGGGTTGCAGGAAGTGGGAATACAGTGATGGACTAGCTCCTTGGGTTCACGACTGTGCCGCCCCTTGTTTTTGCACACACCGTGGGAGAGAAGGCTTTGGTTATGTTGGGCCTGAGCTTCCTTGGTGGTTGATCATTTCCTCCTGTGAAGGGGGGAAAGGAATGAGTTCGCACAGATCCGCCCAGGTCAGAGTACCTGCCGTCTCCTGTGTGGCCCTTCAGAAAAGCTCTCAGCCTGAGCAGCTGCGCCTCCAGTTCACCAAGTTTTTTCTTATACCCAACCTAACCCCCTGACAGCAATTTTAATTAACCTCCTGCTTCAATTCTCTGTGTTTGAGGGAGATGGCAAGCTCCCCAAAACGTGGTCGCAGGGAAATAGTGCTAATCAGAGTGCCCCCTGACCCCCTGACCCCTGCTCCGCCACCCTGAAACACCCATCTGTCCCTCCAGACCTGGCAGAAACACACTGGCCCTCATTCCTCCAACCAGACTGCACTCTTCGTACCGGTCCCTTTGTGGCCAGCATCAGAGCGAGTCCTATGGACCATGCACTGCCTGACCCTGGGGTTGGCATAAACGTGGACAGATGGTGGCCGAAGCTGCCCTGCCCTGTTAACTTGGAACGAGGAGCCCCCTCCAGCTCTCCGTGCTCCACACCAGCCCCCTGGCTATTTAGTCTCAGTTTCCTCTCAGAACCTTTTTGTGAGCCTTGGCTTCTTCAGCTGTGAAATGGGGCTGACACCTGCCCTGTAGTGAAAATTAAATGTAATAATAGGTGCACAAAGCCTGCTCCTCGGCAGGGGCCGGCCGCGTGTTGGTTGCCTTCCGCCTGTGGGGCAGCGTCTGGCATGGGGTACTGCCCCAGGGAACAGCAGGGAAGGAAGCTTCGCCCCATGAAGCAGCCCTGCAGCAGGTCGGCTCTGCCGGAAAGCAAAGTGATGTTCCGGGTCATTTTAGAACCTTAAGGGGACTAAAATTTCTTGGCTTAAGAGGCATTTATTCTTTTCTCCTGGGAGGATGGCATTTCTGTCCACCCAGCTTTTCTGTCAACACAAGCCTTGAGCCCTGGGGCGAGAGGATAAAAAAGGAAGTGTCACCAACTCAGCGAGCCAACCCGTGCTTCTCTGTCATTCTCTCTGGGTTATTTAGTAACTGCAAAATAAATGGGCTTATGTCCAAAGTTAGTTCTTGCTATCAAATCTATTGGGCACAAGCCCCATGATTCAATGGACACTTTCTACCTGACTGATCAGAACTATTTCCCTACTGAAAGGTTTTGGAGAGTTAGCTGTCTCCCCCAAATAGAACATGAGGACAAAATCGCAGTAAGAAATTTAGTTTGGGCCTAAGGAAGAAGTGAGCTGCGAAAATAATTAAATACTAAAGGAAAGGGCATTTGGACTGTGTAAGCTGTTCTGTCCAACCATAGGGGCACCTTTGCCAACAACCCCTCTGGAGGCAGAGCGGTGGACTCTCTGAGCGCTTGTGCCCCTGTCGGCAGGACCTTGTGCACCCCGGCCCAGGGCTCTGCTGGGCGAGGCGGCGCGGGCCTGCCACCCACCCAACACATGCCCTCCCGACAGAGGGCTCAGGCGGTGCAGCTGCAGATATAAATAACCCCCCTCGTGACTCTTTCTGTCCTTAGAGTAAATGCCTCTGGCCACTGCCCAGAATGGGATGGAGAGACACGGAGAAATGGGAGGGCGGACATTAGGAGGCTTGACAGCTGAGGAAAGAAGGAAAGTGAAGAGGTTATGTTTTCTCTCACCTCCTAAGCGAGTCTTTATATGAGATATGTGTCTAGGCAGGGCGAGGAGCTGTCCTACTTTTGAGGAAGGGGGCTGTTCGTCCTGGTGTTTCCTCCCTTCTGTTCCCATCACCCTAGTTCACAGCCTCGTTGTATGTTCCCGGACTGTCACTTTCGCTTCCTGTTGTCCTTGCTTGCTAGTCTGTCTCCTCTGAGTAATCCGCTCTTCCCACTGCTTCCCAATTCACTCATCTCGTCCAATGTGAATCCTCTTCCCATTGGGTTCCCAATACACCCTGAATTCTCCCATCTCTCATTTTTCTCTTTTTTTCCCCTCCCACCCCACTTTTCCCCCCAGAGGTATAGAACCTCCCAATTCACTTGGAGGGACACAGCTACAGCCCCCAAAGGCAACAAGATCTTGTTGCTGTCAGCACCTTCTGCTTAAACTGCTGCTACCACAAACAGCCGGCCCTGGGGTTAGGTGCCTGGTTCCATCTCTCATTTAAGACCCTCCATAATGCAGCTCAAGCCTAGCCCCAGGCCCTGCTTCATGGGCATCCCTGCACGGGGCAGTCCTGACAACGTGCCCACTGACCGACGTTCACTTTGGAGCCAGGAGGGTAAAGCAAGCGCGCTACGAGTTGCAAGCCCCAAGCAGCAGAAAGATAGGAGCACAGCGCACTGGTATCGCAGAGGTCCAGCAGTGGCCCGAGTGCCACTCAGGATCCGATCTGAGGTGCGAGGCTAGAGGGCATGGGCCAGTGTCTGGAGCTCACAAGAAAGTAAAAATAAGATTCATCTGCCTCCTTCCGTAGAACCACCTTCACTCTCCTCCAGCAATAGCCTTCTCCTGGTCAGACTTTAGAATATGTTGTTGCTTTGGGTAATGGGTTTCACTTTCCTGCCAGGTTCTTCCCTGTCCATCCTTCCGCCCTCCTTCCCTTTCTCTCTCTGCCTTTCTTTTCCACGGACCTGTTGTACCTGGTACCGGTAAGACCCTACAGCAGGTAGAGTCCCGGCTCTCAGGAAGCTTTGCTCAGTGACTGTCCGGCATTTGTCTGTAGTGCCAAGAGCAGGCAGAGGCATCGAAATCGCACTCAGGAGAGACCTGAGAGGTGCTCCACGTTATTGTTCTCACTGACAGAGGAGGCTTACGAAGTGCTGCCCGAGCACCCCGTGGGAAGCAGGGTGGGCAACGAAAGATAGCAAGGAAAAGAAAGGCAGGGAGACGGAGCCAGGGGCGGCCGCTCCAGTGCAGCCTGACGCCAGAGCCAGCTGCAACCAGACTCACACAGCTCACAACCAGTGCTTTCGCTCCTCTGTGGGTCACCTGGTAGCTTGCCAGCCAGCTCCTGTTTCCTCTTGCATCCCCATCCCCCACCTGCTTTCAGGTACAGCGTCTACTGCACAGCTTTTAGACCAGAGGGCCTAACCTCTTGGTGGCAGGACCTGTGACAGGTAAGCCTGGAAGTCATCCAAAACCATGTTCACTGTTATACGGACAGTAAAGGAAAACGGCCCACAGAAGTTCCTGCCCAAAGTTCCCTGAGCTGCCTCTGTGTCCTTATAACGCAGCGGGATATTCATCTCTGTGCTTTTCTTTTGGGCATTCCCCAGTACATGGTCTTTCCCTAATCAGAGGCATCTACAATGCCCTGAGAAGTGGAGGGTTAAAGCAATAGTGCAAAGACAAAGACAAACAAACTCAGTCTTTTCAACATCCAAGATAAGATACTGAGGATAAAAAGAGACAGAGTTTTGACTATAAAAATAGAACGGAGAAAGAACAGTGGGATAACCATGGCCACTTTCGGCGTGTTGATGTTTTTACTTTTCCCTGAACCCCTGTGCATTTCACACCTCCAGGCCTTTGTCCGCACTTGACCTTCAGCATGCAATGCTCTCCTCCCCGTGGCTCTGCGTAGCAGGCTCAGTCCACCTCTGAAGATTTGCCCAGGTTCAAGTTCTCCTGTCCAGGAAGCTTTCCTGAAAGCCCCGCAGAGCTGGGCGCCACCCCAACCTTCCGGTCTGCTCTCTATTAAAGTGCTCAGCTTCTTATAACTCCTCACTATCATATCCGTCTCTTTTTTCATCTAGGATGTGAACATCCACCGGGGGTATTGGGAGTTCATCTTTGCACATAGTAGGCAGTCGATCAAATTTAATTACTTAATGCAGAATTCCATTTCAAGTGACCTAGCCTTACCCCATCCTAGGACTTTAGTCACTAAACACTAGTTTTAAACACAAGAGCTATTGCTCAACCATTGCTGGGAATTTCTAGTTTTCAGTCCTCAACTCAATAGCTCAACTGCTTAGATAATTGCAAGCAGCTCCGCCAGGGGCCCAGCACCCGCGCCGTGTGCCGGGGCAGCCTAACGAAGCTGCAGCCAGTGCTGCAGGGGCCCGCTCCTCGCCGGTCGTGTAGCCCCAACCCTGCAACCTCCCTGGAGGAGTCAGACCAGGGCTTGACTCCTCTGAGACCAAGGTAAAGCTGTGTCATTTCTGTCTCTAGGCTTCAGTTCTCTACAACTGTCATGTGGTTGTGGGTCCTAATTAGAAAGCTCTTAGAGATTCCTGAAAGGACTGTTATTGTACAGTGGCACAAAGAGCATTATATCACAGTGGTGTAAGAGTACAGCAAACAATGTGAACTAGGAATAATAAGGGCACTTATTCCCAGAAGCACATTGATTTAAACCACAAAAGCTCCTTGGAACAGGGCTTGAGAATTGTAAAAGCCTGAGCAATCAACGGCCCCTATGGGAGGGGAGCCCATGCCAGGCCACCGCTGGACGGTTCCTTTATTCCTCGTTGGCAGACCAGTTTTGTCCCTCAGGTATTCCCCTTTGGTGAAATTTCCCTGCCACCAGGACTCCAGCCTGTTTGTTGGGTTCTGGGGAGAAGACACTATTGCTTCTACTTCCTTGTACAAGAAGCAAAGAATTGGCTTTAGCACAGCTCAGTTCACTTTTTACTCTCTGTATGATGAAGACAGGTCTCCAGATAATAGAAACTTCATTACCACACCTGCTTCTAAAATCTGCATAGCAGAAATAGCATCTGGGTCACACCTTGACGCAGCCATTACTATCTCTGGTCAGGAAATTTGGAAAACCACCAGCTGCGAGGTATCTATGAAAAAATAAAGCCACCTTAACACACAGGCCATCCTGGAGTGGACAAATATGTTTGAGCATCGCCCTGCCAGCAGAAAGGGCAGAATCTGCAGAGAAAAAGAATGGTAGCTCTGATTACATACAAATTTAAAACTTTCAAATGACAAAAAGCACCACACACCAAACTGTAAGAACTGTATGATAAAAAAGAACATTATGCTTAGAATTATGTTCATTGAAATAAGTCAGAGGAAGGCAAATACTGTATGGAAAGAAATGCAGATTTAAGCAATGAGATTTAAACTTTTACCTATTAATTGGCAACGATTTTTATTTTTATTGGTAAGTGGTGATTTCCCTTTTGGAACCACCTAATAAAGCTAACAATAGCTATATTCTATGACCCTGAAATTCCATCCTTAATTTCTACTGAAGAAACCTTTGCATTTGGGCCCAGGAAGACAGGTTTGGGAATGTTTATAACACCCCTGTTTGTAATAGCAAACATTGGAAACAGTGCATTTCCAATGGAGGAGCAAAAATTCTGTTGATCTATCCACAGTTGGTCGAATCCACATATGCAAAATCTGAGGGAACAGAAAGAAAATCACATATAAGTGGGCCCGTGTAGTTCAAACCCATATTGTTCAAGGATCAACTGTATTTTCATGTACAGGAGCAGAAGTTAAAAGTCTGGGGAGTCTGTCAATATATCATGGAGGTGACTCTTTCTAAATGGTGCATGTGTTACTTAAAATAATCAAAAAGTTTGTTTTAATATTTTTAATGGCCCTGCAGTAAGAAAAAATAATTCACCTCAACTTCTAATTTTCCAAGATATGTTACAGGCATAGAAAAATAATTTAAGAATATAGTTCCTTATCACTGAAATCTTGAAACATGAATGGAAGCCCTGAAAACTGCAGGGCCATTTACATTGTAAACAGTATTTGGTTTTAGCAAAAAAAATTTTTAAGCTCTCTGGGTCCATGTCCTTCTCTGCTCTATCCAACTACTTTCTGAGATTATTCTGGCAGGAAAGGTGTTTTAATGTCCAGGATCTTCAGCTGCATCCACATTCACCTCTCTGTCCACATTCCATAGCTGTTTACTAGGGCAAGACCCCTGATGGGGCAGGAATGGGGGGCTCTGGCTGAGGGACACCTGACTGGGCCCGCAGTGGTGTTTTCCACACCATGAACGCTCTGAGCCTCTGGGACTGCCTTTGTATCCTTCTCCATCCCACCAAGACCCACCGCAGTCCTTACGGTTGTTTTTAGGTGGCCAACACAGTAAACTAACAGAACTTTCAGTCAGGAGACTGTTCACCCATAAACGGTCACCAAAGGACTCTGGGAATGTTTTCTCAGGGTCAAGCCATCGTCCCATCCTCCAGGTTCACTCATCCTCTCCTGTTCAGGTTCCTAACCACAGCGCGTTGTCAGCTCTCCTGGAGCCTCTCACCTCTCTGTGCTGAGGGGACACACTGGCTCTAGAGCTCAGAACTCACCCAGGGCCCCAGGGTTGGCTCGAAGATGTACCTTTGACCGGCAGGCCTCGCGATTACCCTCTGCAGTCTACAACCTTCTCTAACTGCATCTTAAAACACATCTTGCGATATCCACTGTGGGGTCCCAGAAAGGGCATAGACCTGGGGCTGGAGACAGGAGGTAGCGTGGAAGGCTGAGGGGAGAGAGAGGGCACATACTAGATGCCCAATCTTGGTAGCTAGTTGCTTTATTCTTCTTTGTAATAAATTTTTCTTCCTCCTGCTTGGTCCACGTTCTTTCCGTTCTTATCTGGTTATACTCTGCCATTTGTCTCATGTCAAACTGGGAACAGGGCCCTTTTTAAAATTTAGAATTTCTTTCTTTTTTTTTTTTAAGATTTTATTTATTTATTTATTTTTAGAGAGAGGGGAGTGGAGGGAGAAAGAGAAGGAGAGAAACATCAATGTGTGGTTGCCTCTCACATGCCCCCAACTGGGGACCTGGCCTATAATCCAGGCATGTGCCCTGACTGGGAATCAAATCAGTAAGCCTTTGGTTCACAGGCCACACTCAATCCACTGATCATGCCAGCCAGGGCCAAATTTAGGGTTTCTAGTTCTATGTGAAGACAATTCAACTCTTGGACAGAATCCCAACAGAGGCCTGAGTCACCATCCTCAGCCTTTGCCTGCCGTGGCGGGCCAGTGGTACATGGCCTGAGGGCCCCAGCTGAGGGAAGGGTCAAGCAAAGCCAGTGGGGTTGTATGGAGATAAGCAAGGTCAGCTGCCCAAATTAGGGGTGACTCCTAAGGTTGCTTCCAGGCCTGAGATATCACCATTTTTTAATCTTTCTCTGTTTACTTCATTGATCCAGATAGA